TGCGTCGGCCGTGTTCCTGTTTTGATGACGCAGAATTCCGTGCGCGCCGCCCGTACCCCACTCCGCCGTCAGACGTCATTTGACGTGGCTTCTACGTAGCATTCGCTCGGGCCAGTCGGATCGCAGGACCAAGCTCTCGTACGACGTAACATTGTGACTGCTGGTAAGTAACGGCGGCGGCGGCGGCAGCGGGCTTACGGGACCGTGCGCGTTCGCTATATACCTTGTTGTGTTGTCATCACTCCCGTGTGTCGTCTCCTCCGTCTCTCTCTCTCTTTCTCTCACCGTCGTGTCCGTTTTCGTTATTATTATTATTATTATTATTATTACTACTACTATTACTTTATCGTACGTCTGTTTTTATTATTATTATTATTATTATTACTTCTACTATAATTGTTCGTCGTCGTTCTCGCGTTTTCGTTTCTCGACCATGTTTTCCCCGTGTTTTTCTCGGCTTGACATCACTACCTGCAACCGCAACACTTTGCGTCGTACCGAATCGCACACGATGTTCGTTTATCATCCGTCGTAGTATCGCGCACTCGATCGTGGTCGTTGCCGGTCGTCAACGGTACGTGGTGTGTGTCCGCTGTTATCGCAAGCGATGTCGTGCGGTCGAATGATGTGAAAACTGATGCGCGGTACGCACGTACGCACGCACTTACGACATACGACGGAGGGAGTTGGAGTGAGAGTGAGAGCAGGAGTGGGAATTGACGGAATAATATTACATTTTTTGGCGCGGAAGTAACGTGTGAATGAGACTTTTTAAGTCGAACGTTACGATTCGTCCTACGTCTTACACCGCCAAGACATCTTCTGTTGTGATACTCTTCCACGGTAATTGTCCATGCGGCCTTGATAGGCTACTCCAGTTCCTGGCATCTGCCAATCAATCCTATAAACTGTTGGTCGTGCAGCACCATTATATGGATTTTATTTTACATGTTCGCCATAGGACATAACAACGATCTCGTTGTGTTATGGACGGTATGGTAGAAGAAAATGGGACCAGTGGTTCAGTTGATGCCCTTGTCTCGCAGGGTTCTGGTAACCCTATCGTTGTCACATCGGTAAGTCATCAATGTCAATAGTTACTCGGTGCTGTACTAGTGGCTTATGTTTGTTTTTTGTTTTGATCTGCAAATGTTTGTTGACAGGTGCACTCAGTCATCCAGGCAAACCAACAGTCTGTCATCCAAACTGCAACACAGGGCACTATGATCACTAAAGGCAATGTTATTCTATTAAGTAAACCGAATTCAGTAATACAAACCACTCAAGGAAATCTGCAAACCCTTCAGGTAGTAGTATATTTTTATTTTTTTATTATAAACATTGATTTCTATCAAAATGTTATCAAATATGAATTTTATTTTCAATTCTATAACAGCTATATGAGTGATTTTGGATGTATATTTTACCATTTACCTGTTTACTATAGTTTATATAAATGTTTTCTTTACTTAAGGTTGTTGAAGCTGGTAGCGATGAAAGTTTATCAGCAAATGAAGATAGTCCTAAAAGAGTTCGCCATGATGCCCTGACTAGGAGGCCATCTTATCGAAAGATTTTAAATGATATCGCAGGTTATTTGGTCGTGTACTTATTTTAAATCACTAAAACACGTTTAATTGTGACAGTAATTTATTGTGTTTAGGAGGAAAAGTTGAATCGTCAGGTTCAGATTGTGATTCAAATCTCGATAGTGAATTATCTTCAAATTCACTGTCTGCTCATTACCAAACTGGTGAGTTTAATGTTTATATTAATAATATATATGTCAATTCATTGTAGTTTTAAAGTTTAATTACTATTCTTAATAGAACTTAAACATTAATCATAAGTCATTCTCATGTAACATCATTAAATTATTACGGTGGGCATATATAATAGCTATAACTAATAATAATAATAATAGCATATGCATTAGTTAGTAGAAGAAAAGAATAAATGTTTGAAATATTGAAATTATTTTGGTTTCATCACATTTTTATATTATTAACTTAGTTGACTAAGTCAATTTTATCTATAAAAGTAATTAGTGTTATTAAAATATAAAGTTTTCAATTTATTTAATAATTAGTTTTATTGACTTATATTTTTAATTTTTGTACTTTTTGAACAATTATAATAGTGTAGACAAATTATAACAGATTTATTATGTTGAGCATGCCTTTTTTTACCTCTAGCTATGTTATCACATTCAATTTGATATGAGTTAAATATTACATTTTAAAACATATATGTGTTGTATTGTTCAGTACAATTTTTATCTATTATTAACAGTATGGTTTACATATTTCTTTTTTTTGTGTAAAAGGTTAGGTTATAAAAAATTAAAACTAATGAGTTTTTGTTATACATTAAATCTTATTACTTATTATTACTACTGATATTTTAATTATTTCAAGCCATTATCCAAGGCTTGTGTTTAAATAATCATTCTTCTTTATTACAGTTTTACCTCCAGCTGCAATTCAGTTAACTCAAGGAGAAATGCATAGTATGCCGACTTTAACAATGTCTAATCCAACGTCTACCGGTGGTACTATATTGCAGTATGCTAGTCAAGATGGACAATTTTTTGTGCCTGGTAATACATTCTCTAAATTTAATTTAATTTATGAAATTAACATTATGAAAATAATTTTAGTTGTTACCCAAGGAGGAAGTTCTACTTTAAATACAAGTTCAATGGTACCTGAAGATCAAGTTAAAAAACGGGAAATGAGGCTATTAAAAAATAGGTAAATAATTTTATCTTATACTATTAATGTTATCTAGAGCTGATTCCTTTAACAGCTACATAAAATTATATTTATAAATTCTGATTATTTGCCATTATGTGTATTGGTATCTATACGTATTAATTTCTAGTGATTATTCCCTTATAACTTAGAAAACACCCTTTTACAACAACCTATTAGGTATTATAATAATCGTATATTTCTTCACATCAAAATAATTTTTAATTTATAATTATTAATCTAACCTAACCTATAAAGTTATTCAAATAAATATTAGAAACTTATATTTGTCAAACTGTTGAAATTCTGAGTTAATTATTAGTTGATTTATATTTGAAACATAGTTAATTTAAAAAAAAATAAAATAATTTTGAACATATCCCTTAACTTATTATACTATAGGTCGAATGATAACAAATGTCACACCTTTGGTGCTTAAGTTAGTTTGGAATTCAAACTTAATACTAAAGAAGTATGAATATAAATATTGTATAATTTATCAGTATGAACAAGTTTTTTTTTTTGTATTACATAAGTCAACAGCAAAAATATTTGCTTGAAAATATAATAAATAATTATGATAGCTAATTTAATATGGCTGTAGTGATTTGTATTTTATTTTATCTTACAGAGAAGCAGCAAGAGAATGCAGACGAAAAAAAAAAGAATATATTAAATGTTTAGAAAACCGTGTATCTGTATTAGAAAATCAGAATAAAGCACTAATTGAAGAGTTAAAAACGCTAAAAGAACTTTATTGCCAAACAAAGACTGAATAGTGATAGTTTTTGAATCTTCAAATTTATAAGAGAAAACATTGTACCAGTCATGACCAAAATTGCATGCTTGACGTGATATTTACAAAAATCTTGTAAGCTCATTTTAATTTATATGTTTAATTTTTGGTTATTTAAAATCAATATACATTTTGAAAATGGTTTATTTTTGCTAAAAACTCAAGGAATTAGTAAAAGGGTCTATTCATCAGAGAAATCGGTGGCCAATTCCATATGAACAATTTTATTCTTTATCTTATTTTTGAAATTTGATGATGTTATAACTGCCTGCTAAACAACATCACAGCAAATGAGTTTTTATATTATTCAATGCCAATTCTTGAGATTTTTATGTATTCTTTATATTATTTATTTAGTGACTTAAATATAATCTAGTCTAGCTATTTTTTTTTTTTTTTTTTTTTTTTTGGTTCATTGTACTATAAAAACTATATATTTTTGTTTTGTTTACTGGTAAGGGGAGACTATATATTGAAAATTAATTGTTTCTTTTATTTTTACAAAAAGTGATAATTAATTTTTAAGTATTAAATAATGATGGAATTTAATGGGTTTATTTCAAATTTCAAATTATTTTTACTAAAATATTCTAGGTTTGCATATTGGGTCATGATATTTGATAGAATTATTTTTTATACTGACGTCTCAAAAGTTTAGTTACCTGCTGTATGGTTAATTTAACATAATATTTATAAATTATATTGTATAAATATATTTATCATAGTATATTAAAATTGTGTTCTTAATAATATATAGATTGATTATTTTATCCTCAAATAAGGTAAATTTTGTACACACATATTTTTAAACATATTTAAAACAATGTTGTTTGCCATAATTTTATTTTATAACCAGTAATTAAAACTTTGAAAACTGTTGAAAAAAAGGGTGTTGGCAAGATTACTGTAGAAAAATCAAAATTAATATCTCATAAATAGAGTTTGTTTTAAATATGGACAAATATAACTTAAACAACTAATGAAGAAAAAATATTTTATTATAATGAAACAAAAACCAATATCTTTTAAATTGTGTAAGGTCTTTTATTGTTCACCAAAAATCAAACTTGAATTAATTTCTGTTTCTTTTTTTCTTTATTTGCTTTTCTTTAATGTTAATGTTGGAATTGACTACCATTTATTATTTAATATAATTCAGTCACATTTTTTTGATTCGCATGCAGAGTGGACTACTATGTTTTTCTGATTTACCATTTATCTAACAGGAAAATGTAAAAGTATAGTAGCCCATCTATGTGTGTGTATTTTTATGTGGTATAATTGTTGAAACAGAACAATAAAATATTTTCCTAGAGATTAGATATCTTTAATTTTTAGTTTGTAGGAATGTATATATTTATGTTTAGGCTTTGTTTATTATTATTATTTTTATTATTATTATTATTATTATTATTATTATTTTTTTATTATTGTAAATTGAGTAAAAATGTTGTAATTTTTTAATTGTAAATTTGTTGTCGATTAGAAGAAAAGATTATTTATGAATATATTACGAATTTGTTAAATGTGTATGTGTATAATCAATAATCATATATTTATTTATGTATGATAATGGTTAATATTTTTTAATACTATTTTGATAAAAGCATTTACTTTATAAATGAAGATATAATTATGATTAAATTATTTATATGGACTAGATGATATAATCAATCTAAATTCTGAAAATAAACCAAAGATTAAAAAGCTGAAAACCAATTTTTTTACTGAATACATGTTTAATTATTTATTAAAAATTTGTTAAATAGATGGCTAATTTATATGATTATTTAGTCTATTTTTTTATTTTTTTTTTATCTTTTTGTTATTCTTATTTTATGCTCATGCTATATAATGATGTTAAGGTGCATTTACATGTACAAGTAAGCTATTGAATCCAGTTTGGTTTTATTAATACTTTTTCTTAATATCATTCCTGTAAGTTTGTATAAAATAAGAATTTTAAACTATTTGGTTATAACTAATAATTATACTACAATTTCATGTATACAACAAATTCAATATACTCATATTTTCCGCCTTGATTAAAAATATGGGGTTAGAAGTAATTTTTCTATTTTTTTTTTCACCCAATATGTATAAAATATTTGCTACTACTATGGTAAATCTGTTTTCTGCTGGAATTAGAAAATATGATCAGGTTATATTTTATATTTTTGATACATGTCGCTGATTTAACTTTTGATGTTGAATTTTGTCAACATTAATTTTGAACGTCTTAACACCTGTAGCTATAATTTCTAATGTACACTGATATCAAAATATACCTATTATACATAAAAAAAAATTAAAAAAAAATAAGATCTACTGAAACATTAATTATTATTATTTTTATTAATTATCATTGTCTTGTATTGTATTTTTCAGATTGTGAGTGAAGTAAGGAATTTATTAGTTCTACTAGAATATTATGTTTGTTTTGTTATATTAATTTATTTTTTATTTCCGTCTATATGATTTCATTTAGTAGGATTGATTTGATTATTAAAATGAAGAATAGTGTCTGATCACAGACATTGTCTAATTTGTGCAAATAATTAGTCATTATTTGAACATCTCAATAGCTGTATGAATAACTTTTAAAACTATTTTTTTTTTAAAATTACAAAAGTATACAGCCAAATTTAAGTTTAGTAAACAATTGGTACCACTTTCAACTAAATCAATTTTCTTTTTTTAAAAAAATTATTCGATGAGACGACATTTTCTTTAGTAATGCTAATTTTAACAAAATGTTAATTTTATTTTTTTTCTTGATTTTTTGAAAATAGTTTTTTATTTTATCTAATTTTTTATCGTAACATGACAATAAAATTAATTTAGTTGGCAAAAGATCTAGAAAATTTAAATTAAAGTTTCTCGTAAATTTGTTTTTCTTGTATAAAAATAAATATCGAAAATCCTTAGACATAATTATCATTTAAATTTAAAATATTTTTAACATGAAAGTTTGCACTGCAGTTGGTAGCTTAAAATATATATAACTTTCAATTTTAGTACTTAAAGCTTGAAATTTGAGTAAAATATTTTCACAATTTTTTTTTTTTTCAAGCAGAAATATAATGTTAAGAGGACGTCACACTCTTATGTGTTGTCTCCGTCTGACATACATTCAACATAGGAAATTTGCGTTCAGTGATTCAAATGTAGTGATATTAGATTTAATATTAGAGTAAACTGATCTATAATCAAACTTTAAGGAAAAAATATTTGTGTTTTGTTAGTCGGTTTTTCCGATATTTTAATTTTTTACCGAGCTATGATGTTTTTTTAAGTGTTACAATTTACATACTTATAACACGCTGAAAAATTAAAATATCGGAAAAAACCGACCAACAAAACACAGATAATGTTCTTCCTTTAATGTTTGATTATAGGTCAGTTTACTCTAATATTAAAGATAACTTCACTACATTTGAATCAGTAAACGCAAATTTGCTATGTTGTACGTATGTCAGACGGAAACAACAGATGCAGGTGTGATGAAAGTGGTGAACATTTTTTATAATCATTAGAATATTGACGAAACCGGAAATTTCAACGAAATTCGTTTAATTTTTAGAATTTCGGTGTATATGCTATTTTGTTGCCTAAAGAGTAGTAACTTGAAATATTAACTGTAAAGTTTGCATATATAGACAATGCATTATACTTATTTAGGTTTTGATCAAATTAATTACAAAATTATGAGGTTCTTATATTTATAATTTTAAGACAAGGAAACTTATCTACCTGTCCTTCACTCATAATCTTCTTTCTTATGTTACCTTTACACTCTCGTCGAGGTAAGACGAGCACGAGAATGTAGTCTGTCCACTCGTGCCAACTGCTCTCTACTCCGAGACGGTTTTTTGGTCGCGAGATAAGAAGTAGGTACTAATTAAACTCCTCGTACTTCTCTCACTCGTCACTGTGAAATACGAATTAACACTGGGTCGACAGTTTTTTTTTTGTTTGTCATTAATTTTATAATTTGTTGATGTTTATGTATTATCAGTGCTCGACTTGAAGGGGAAAGGAGAATTCCCAACTAATTTTCAGAAACATTAGCGTCCCCCTATTATTATTACGTTAAAATTATAACGATTTACAAGTTTTGGGGACGGTATTCTTTTTTAAAAGTAAACGTAAAAAATGCTCCTTCTTTGATTTTGACAAGTCGAGCACTGTGTATTATTTTAATTATTTATATTGCATGAGTGGAAAAGTGAATTATCAATACGATTTACAGAGTATTATTAATCTTAACTACCTATTTTATGGGATACAAAGCATCGTTGGTATCAAGGCAAGGCAACAGTGAATAATCTCGGGACATGGTTGGTAATAATTTGATAATATATTAATTGAAAAATGAAAACAATTCAAACTTAACGAAGTTTCATGGATATTTAAGAAAGAAAAAAAAGAAGTAGGTAGGTACGTCGATTTGCCAGAATTATTTGTTTGTACCTTATCGAGTATGGTGTTCCAAAATGATTCATCCGATTTAAAAAAATCATATTTATTGTAAAATTTGTTTAATCATGTTAGAACTAATTTTAAATTTTAATGGATTATTTTAAGTTTTAGGTACAATGCTTATAAATGTTCAATGTGACCCCCCCCCTTACTTGCACGACACACATCTAAGCGATATTCAAATTCTTCATAAACCTGTTGAAACATGTCGACTGTAACCAAGTTGATGGCGTCTGTAATGTGACTTTTCAATTCGTCAAGATCTTTTGTAGGGGAGGTACATACACAATGCTTTTTATGTAACCCCAGAGAAAAAAATCACAGATTGTAAGATCCGGCGAACGGAGCGGCCATGGATAAAATGTAGCGTCATTAGCACTACAGCGACCGATCCATTTCTGTGGTAGCTGATCGTTAAGAAATTTGCGTACTTCTAAGGACCAATGTGGTGGTGCTCCATCTTGTTGTAAAATGAAATCATTTCCATCGGCTTGCAGTAGTGGGAATAATCAATCCTTAATCATTTGTAGGTATGAAGTTCCTGTTATTGTGTTCTCATCAAAGAAAAATGATCCGTACACTTTCTTTCTGGAAACAGCGCAGAAAACGTTAAGTTTGGGCGAATTCCTTTCATGTTCGACAACTACCCGTGGATTCTCTAACCCCCAAATTCGCACATTGTGACGATTTACCTTCCCATTCAAATGAAAAGTGGCCTCATCACTGAAAATGATACGACAGAAAAACTGTTCTACCTCTTCACTCTTCTCAAGAACAAATGTACAAAACTCAATTCTCTTTTGCATATCACCGTCATGGAGAGCCTGCAACAATTGAATTATGTATGGTTTAAGTCTCAGGCGTCTCCGCAACACACGCCAAACTGTTGTCGGTGGTATTGCAAGTTCTTTGGATGCTTGACGAACTGATTTCTGTGGACTTCTTACAAAACTTTTTCGAATTTGTTCAACATTTTCATCCGAAGTTCTTGGTCTACCTGATGACTTCCCTTTACATAAGCAACCAGTTTCTTGGAAGGTTTTATACCATCTTCGAATACTCTGGGCTGTTGGAGGTTCAATGTTAAACTTTCGACGAAAATCACGCTGCACGGTAATAACAGACTCGCATTTCTCAAAGCGGAGCACACAAAACGCCTTTTGTTGCTCGGTCAACATTTCGATAACAACTAATTAAGTTACGTCACTAACGATTACGGTGCCAAATTTAACAACTAGATAACTTAAAATAAACTTAGTTATCTAATCTTTCCATTAATACATTGGTCATTAACCTGCGATTAACCGTTGCCGAACTATATCAGTTCGTAATCGGATGAATCATTTTGGAACAACCTGTACAATACATTTGAAAGCGGTTTAAAAGTTTTTCACCCGCGACTGGTAACTATGAACAACCGTAAAAACCAGGGTGTAAATCATAGAGTAAAGAATGTGTAAATGTTGTTGCGCCTGGCTTCGTCAAACTACAGCGGGGCGAGCACGGGAGTATGTAGGTGGATGCACCTCGCTTAGCCTCCTTCAACTTCGTCACGAAGTGAACGCGCAAGAGTCTGGATGTTCTATATACGATTGGTACATCGAGTTCAAATTGATAAAAACTCGTATATTGAGTACCTATATAACTATTTGATACATCACTCGTTCACGTATCTCACCTCATTTTTTTATTATAGCTATTACATTTTCTCTTAAGGCGTTCACTAGCTTAACAATTAAAGGTACTAAATTCTGTACTAGATCAATTATTTATGAAATGGACTTATAAGCATATTATGTATGCGAAAGAAGAAAGAAAAATAAATGAAAAACAATATCGTTTTATAATAAATATTATGTAAGGAATAAGTATCTTTTCAAATATATAATTTCAAAGCAATATTCAAAATTCAAATATTTAATGTACAATATAAATCCCTAATTTTACAAGTTTGACATTGGGTATATTTTTACCTGATAATTACACTGTATATTCGATAGTAAATTTAGTTCTTACAATTAAATATATATTTGTAATCAAATAAATTATTTTTTAGTTAAAATCTAAAAATATCGATCAATAGAGTTATGAACTAGAATTATGTATATTAAGCAGTAGTTGTTGTGGATTGCGTGTCAGGTGATACCGAAGATTTTTCATTGATACCAAGACACGGCACTCGTTTTGAAAGTTCTAATCTGAAAATGTAAAATGTAAAATGATGCTATTACTACATATACATTTTCGACGAGAGAGTTGTAGTAGTCACTGTGACGCGACGAAGATAAATCGAAAGAGTCGACGAGCAGATTAATATAGTATAATGAATAAAGCAATTCGATTGAATGGACACAATTATAAATATTTGTATTTCATTAATTGAATTACCTGTATTTAGGATGACTTATTGCGTATACGTAAGGATCCAGACAAGCCACAGTTTTGGCAAATACCGCTGGCAACATAGTCACGACGGGTGTTAGCAATGATCTTAATATGAACAAAAAATTATTAAATTACTGTCGACAAAGTATACTATTATAATGACAGTACGTATTAAGATTTTGAAAATAATTATTTCCATCGTTTTGTTTATATGTGTGTATTAACCAGCTAGCGCGGCGGTCGTCCCATCCGGGTACGGTGCTTGGCGAACTGGTTGAGTAGGGGCACTGTTCGGCAAACTGTACAGTGTGTAACAGTAGCGTAACTGGGAAAAAACCTAGAGAGGGCAATATAATATATTTATTATTACCAAAACCCTGACACCCCTCCCCCTCACCAGTTAAAACATATTTTTATTGTATGTATTTTATACACTATATTTAATTGTTTGATTTTACATAAGTTTTTTAACTCATTTTATGGTTTAGATAAACATAAATTGTAGGTAGCATGTACTAGGTACCAATATTGTTAAATAATAACTATAAGAGTTCATTAATAAAAGGTGCTATTTGTACTGTTGGATTATCTGGGGGAGGGGGCAAAATTATACCTTTATCTCTCAAAAAATGGTCAGAGGGGGCACTTTCCCCCCTTGCCCCCCACAATTACGCCACTGTTGTGTAAGGTAGAGATGGGCAAAAAGTTTGAAACATCGATGTTCCCATGTATCGATGTATCTACATTTGAAACATCGATGTTGTTGATCGATATTTTCGACAAAAACATCGATGTTTAAAAATATTTAAGTTTTAAGAAAAATTGTATCTATGTTATATGTATGTATGTTATGTATAAATTGTAAAATGTTTAAATAAATACGTTATTTAAACATCGGACTTCAGATTAGAAAAAAATCGATGTATTTTGCCCATCTCTAGGGTAAGGTGTGCGTATGGATGGCCAGTGTGGCGTTTAATTTGTATTTTTGTTGTTTGTCATAATAGACGTGTTTTAATTATTCATTTAAATAGACTGTTGTTATTAATACCGTAAGCTTACGATTGAGAAGTTAACATGTGTGTGTGTTAGTTCATTCGCATCTTGTTTAAAACACGTATCAACCGTTGTTCTAAAACGCACTTACTGATCTCCGAAAGCACCGACCATTGCGACCACTGCGTACGGTGTCCATGCTGCTACAAACAGGAAGCAAATCGTAATGGCAGCTTTAGCGATTCTTACTTCTGCCGATTGAGCGTTTGCATCTTGGTTACTCCGTAACGATTCAACGTTCATTTTTTTTGCCTAAATTTTACGTGATATAAAACGAAACGGAATTTAATATTTGAGAGCATACAAATACGAATTATAAATCCAAAAATATTTTCGTTTCGCAATAATACTATCGGTAGGTAAAGCACAAAAATGACACCTTATTACTCATTTGTAATTTTTATGCTTTGCTTTTGTTTTGTTTTTGCTTTTCAATCAATTCAAACAAACATTTAAATGTATCTATACATATTATTTACTTGTTCACGAAGTGCTTTTTCATGGTTGAATACATGACTGACTATTTGCGAATAAAAGTATATTATAAATGACATTGGTATTACATAACAAATCACAAACAAGATTCCTACAAAAGCTTTGGTTTCATCCGTTGGTGTTAAGTAGTCGAAAGAACAACTTGTTAAAAAACCCTCTGAAAAATATAAGCTATTTTAAACTCATATGATTGACAAAAATATATATTTTTTTATTTACTGATATGATATTATTGATTAATAATTCAATAAAATGTAGGAAGAAGGATAAATAAAAAGAATAAATGATTTAATGAGGTCTGACGTAAAGTAATCAAAGAACGCGTAGTGAAAGAAAATTGTATTAGATCAGTTGATCAGATAAGCAGGGAAACATGAAAAATAATGGTGAAAACACGTATTGCAGAGAGAAAGAGAAATTTTCTGAATGGAATATTACAAGAAACAGAAAAGCATAGATCGCAAGGTAGCATAAAAAATTTATTCAAAACCATCAAAAAATATAACGGATTTTATCCAATACTAAAAGCAATAAAGGATAATAATGAAAAACTACTTATGAAGTAGGAAAAGAACGGAAAGAATACTTTGTTGATCAGTTGAATGGCATAATACTTTCCAATCCGATAGAGAACACAACATTTTTGAAGCGAAACCATTGCCATAAGAAATATCCAAGGAAGAAGTAAGAGAAGCGATAAAAAACCATGAGAATTGGAAGGTACTAGATTCCAACAGCATACCATCGAAACTTAAAAATATGGTGAAGAAGATATGTGTGATTTTATTCATAGGATATGTCATAGGGTATGGCGAGAGACAAAAATACCAGAAAACTAGGATGAAACAATAATTATATCATTTCATAAGAAGAGTGATAAAACTGAATGTAGTAATTACAAACGGATATCCTTTTTGAATTCAGTATACAGAGTATTCCCCAGAGTTCTATTGAACCGTCTAACACCATATGCAGAAGAATGCCTAAGAGAATATCAAAGTGGATTTCGCAATGGAAGGTCAACCATAGAATAATAATCAGTAATAACAAGTAGGTATAATAGAAAAGAGTTATGAGTATCGCCAGTACATGTGGCAAATGTTTGTTGAATTTAAGAAAAGTTATGATAGCGTTCATAGAAATTTTATTGATAACATAATGGAAGAATTTGGGTTCCCAAAAAAGTAATAAATCTAATCAAATTGACCATGTATTTCCAAGGAGTGAAATACCACGTTAGAATAGATAGTATTGTGTCGGAAGCGTTAAATGTTGAAACGGGACTAAAACAAGTGAATGCACTATCCACTATTATACAACATAACCCTAGAAAAGGCAGTAAGAGTTTTGTAAAACGTTGCAAGAGGAATAAGCTTAGGTGGTTATCATATAAAAGTACTAGGTTTTTCAAACGATCTTAACATCCTAGGATATATTTTGGGTGATACAATGAGAGCTATTGAAGCAGCAGAACGAATAGGATTAAATCTAATCGCATGTAAAACAAAATGAATGGAAGTACCAGACATTGAAACATCTCTAGATGTATTGGAAACGCCACCATATGAGAAAGTCGATAAGTTTCAGTAACAAGGTATACTATTGAATATGAAATATGTTTGGTTCCGTGAAATCGGGACAAGAAAAACAAAAGCAGAGAGAGTGTTCTTCACCCTAATAAAGTTCTTTAAATTTAAATTATTGACAAAATGAATAAAAATAAGACAATACACATCAATAATAAGGCCGATACTAATATATGGTTGTGAAAATATGGATCATTACAAGTGTAACACAACGAAGATTCAAGACGTTTGAAAACAAAAAATGTAGAAAAATATGCGGCCCGGTCAGGGATACGAGAACCGATAAATGGCGTAGAATTTCAACCAAGAATTGAAGGGAAAGTTAAAAATAATAATAATTAATGGGTCTATAAAATGTTAAATGATACAGTGTTTAGGACATGCAATAAGAAGTAATACTGATGCAGTGATCAATATAGTACTTGATTGGAAACTGGAAGGAAAAAGGCTGCTGGGTCGTCCCTGAAAGAAATATATGGATGCTATAGAAAAGGATTTGGAAGATTTCGACGTACGGAATAGTGTAGGATTGGGAAAAGTGGAGTGGTTTGATGATGGCGCTGAGAACTCTTGGAGAGTTATAAAGGCCTGAAGGAAGGAATATTATTGATTATTATTTTTTCACATTATCGCAATGTTACTAGAACATAGGGATGAGCAAAAATGTATAAACATCGATATTCGATTTTTAAAATATCGATGTGTTCTAGGTATCGGTGAAAAAACATCGATGTTTAAGAGCATCGAAGATTAAAAACATCAAAAAAAATTTTTTTTTTCTAGGCCTGCCATCTGTTGTAGACCTTATTATCTGTACAGTGTACTATTTTTTTGATTAAATAATAAATTCAAGAGTTAAAATAATATTTTTTAAATACATATTAAATAATTATAATATGGGCTTGTAAATTCATGCATTTGCATGTTTTCTTTTCTACATCGGAAAATATGCTAATTGAGATAAAAATCCGTTTATAGTGCATGTTTTTGCATGTTTTATGTGTATTGGCATATTTGGCATATAGTTGATTTTTTTGAGTTATTAGCGCATATTATTTTATGTAAATTCAACGAAATCTTTTTTGTTAAAAAAAATTAGATCAATAAATGTTTGAATTCATTCTTATTTACTTTTCGGAATTTGTTTATAAAATTTTAGTATTTCATCAATATTTTAATTTTTTGATGACTTTAAATTTTATAAGTTAAAAGCAGTACCATGGAAACAATGTTATTGCACACCACTACCACTCTTCTCCTATTGACGTGTCCATTGAAATCTAACTATTTTCGTCGCAACGTGTGATCATTAATTATAATTTTAATAAAATGTAACCAAAGAACAAATATAACTTTTAAAAATATGAATGGATAATTATTATTATTTTTAAAAATGCTTAAACATTTTTTTTTCGTGCATAGTTAAGGATTTTTAATGCATATTTGATTAAACGTTAACGCATTATTGCATGCTTATTTATGCGTTTTTTTAGTGCATGAACTTACGAGCCCTGATTATAACTTTATAGTGTATACTGTATAACGATTTTTCTATATTGCATACTAAAATAATATATATAAAAAAAAAAATTTGAATATTTCGAACATAAATATCGATGTTTAATTTCGAACATTTCGAACACAAACCTCAATGTTTAATCGATTAATCGAAAACAAATCATCTATTTTAAAACATCGATGTTTTTTGCCTATCCCTACTAGAACACATATTGTTTAATATTATGCAATAAAATACTTTAAATAATTGAAGTAATTACTACTAATATAGTAGGTACTTTAAATAATAATAAAAATAAACAATCAATGTCGTTCATAAACTATATCGTTCTTCTTTGAATTGTCAGTAGTAAATAAAAATATTATATATTTTTGCGATATACTCCATATACCTCTTAATCACGAATAGAAAGATATTTAGGTACCAACTATAAACATTATAAGTTTGAAAACGTCTATATTTGTTTGTGAGTATACGACTAACCTGGTACATATCGGTTCCATTTTTCGGTTAAAGGAAGGAAGCACCATGGAAAAACATACATCCAAATACATATGATCAATATTAATGCTTTACCGTAAGTCATACGACCTTCAAACGGTTTTGCTATTGTACTGAAAAAAAATTATTACCATAGGATAATAATTGTTTATATAATATATAATATAATAATGTTAAGTCGTAATAATTGTGTTATACCGTATAGGTTTTACACGCATTTCGAGTTCTCATTGGGTATAAAAAATAAAATTAGATATTAAAAATAATTTGTATAATATTTAATTTTGATAATATAAATTATGTTTTACTGTGGTTAGTGGTTACTTTATGTCAATCTTATTGTTATTGTGATTTAATTTTGTTTTCAAATGTTTTGTTTATCAAAAATCGTGTTTTTTATTCTATAAGTAACTAATCATGTCCTTCGTGTTGTTGATAAATTCATTGGGATTTAGATAAAAAATAATTCGAATTAATTTATTTTTAATTTTATTAAATTCTGAAGAGATTGTTGTAAAATTGCTAAACTTTAATCAACTAGACGTATACCGCCTTAATTGTGTTGGGATTTTTGAGAGGCTATTAGCCTCTGAGTTATCTGAGATTGGTTGATGATGAGCGTTGGTTAGGTTTTAATATGTCTATAGTTTATTGTAACTGGTTGCTATTATTATTTGTACGAGTACAATAATTGTTAATATTTTTATTACAAAAATTCTTTCCGAAAAATATGTTATCCATCTTATTAAATATAATATTGTTGATAATCTAGGTTGATAATTCTCAATTTAGGTCGCTAACAAATTTTTTAAGGTCAATAATATATAAAATCAGTCTAGGACATTTCGGCGTGGCCGTCTGGGCATAGCCATTTCAGCGTAAACCATTTTGGTGTGAAATTATAGCAAAAGTATAACAATTTTTCTTGGATATTTATGTAAATTTTATTTATAATTTTTATTATTTTATATTTTTATTAATTTATAAAATGATAACATAAACAATTAAATTAAATTAAAATAAAATAAAATACAAATAAACTAATAACTTATATTATGAGCTTTTCCTCTTAAAAAATAATGTTTTTACGATTGTTATAATTATTTATAATTTTTTTATTATTTTTTTTACATCAAAACACTCATATACCTATAATTATTTATAATGGATATTCATACGATAGAGTGCCCATCAAGGAATGTTGATAATTAAAAAAAGAGATCACCATTATTACAAAATTCAAAAGTACAGTTAAAATTTTACGATCTCTTATACTTTTTATTGGGTTTATTTTTGGTGTGAATTATATTGTATAATTATAAAGAATAAAGATTGAAAATAATACATTTAATTTATGACATCAACCCCCCTCCTCCGCACGCTGGTTGGGAACCACTGTATCAGGCAATAAAAATTATTTTATCTGAATACGTTTAAAATCTTGTTGCCCATTTAGGTAGAACTAACTTAATTTAGAATCTTTTATATAGCACACTTAGAATCATATACTATACAGTACGTGTATAATAAATATTAATTAAAAAATATTGATCAAAAAATGCAATGCACGTCGAAATGGGTCCGTACCGAAATAGGATTCACGCTAAAATGGTATACGCCGAAATAACTATGCCGAGATGTCTGTTTCCCATATAAAATAACTAATAAGGTATTTTTGTAAATATCATTATGATTGTTGAAAATTACAATTGATGAAAGCTCAAGATTGCTGTTAAAAACGTTATATTAATCATACTAATTTATCACTACTCTTTAATGTTATCATAAAAATATGGTCGCATAAAATCTTGGTGACATTGTAAGGGGTCACGGTCTCAAAAATATTGAGAATTGCTGCTTTAGGTGATAGGTGTCAAAAATGAAATCAGTAATTTTCACAAAAAAAGTTCACTGCTTCATTGCAGTCAATCGTGTCCTTTACATCGTGCATATTTTTTTCCGAGGAATTCATCTTATCTGTGGATTTTTTGAAATAACTATTAAATAGCAATTATCATGTTTTACCTATATCTGTCGTATGCGATTGCCGCGTTCGTGGCGCCTGCTCCTATGCCACTGATACTGCCGCACAACGCAAATATCTGACATTGCAGGTGGCCCGGATATTTGTGATTAATCGAGTCGTAAATAAGAATTGGCAGTACTAATACCATAGAAAAATCACACAGCGCCAAATTTAGTACAAACAAATTAGACGGCGTTCGTAATGGTTTTGATCTAAAATAACATCATCACGTTTTTCTATAGCAATATTATTAGATACTCTCAACAATAATAATAGTTCAATTATTAAAGTCGAACATTTTTATCGAAAAATAATTCACATGGTTACACCATTTTCTATAAATGTTCAGAAATGGGTTTAATGTCTTTGATTTCACTACATTGTTTTTTTAAGACAAAATTATTTTGATTTATAATACACTTAGCCACATAGGTATATTGGGTGTAAGCTCGAAGATTTCTTGTGTGTGTATTATAGTCTTATATTTATTGTTTATGAATTCTACATTCTGAGGTTAATAAAGCGAAAACCCAAGATTAAATGTAGAGCCTTTTCGTATATCGTTTACTTACAGTGGCGTATTTTCAAATTTTTTTTGGGGGGGGGTCTAAATATTAAGTACCTTTAAGTTTATAATATAATAAAAACACATACGAGTTATGATGTAAATATGTAATAACTATATTATTTATATTAAATTATGTATATTTCCCTACTATTATGATTTATTAATACAAATTAATAGTCGGCGTACCTACTAATATAATCATATAATAATTATTATTATGTTACGTCGTTATCGTCGTCGGACTCGTTTTCGTCGTAATTGTCGTCGTCGGACGGCGACGACGCGACAAAAATAACCAAAAGTTAAACCAAAGTAAAAACCCATAATATAAAATTAATATTCTCTTTCTCGGTACCTACGTACCAAGTTTTTTTGATTTTTTAAATTTTTTTCTGGGGGGGGGTCGAGACCCGGGAACCCTCCCCGTAAATACGCCACTGTTTACTTATACTCTGAAAACGTATTAAAATTGTACAAAATAATAAAACCCTAAACCTTGAAAACAAAATCCTCTCTTTACTAGTGTCGATTAAAACAATAAAATAAAATATATTTTTAAATTAAACTAAACTTGGTAGGATTAAACAATACAAAACCAATAAATATTGAATAACAATGAATGTTTATATAGTAGTTACATAGTAGTTTATATAGTGTTGAATCGTTACATTACATATTGTAATTTGAAATGTATTAACTTAAATAATTCCTACATTACAGGAGAGCCTAAGTCATAATTATTATTTGTTTCTTAATCGTCTTAAAAATAAAAATTAAATCGAATACATTTTGGAATGACGGGTATATGAATTCAAATCGATTTAATCCTAAATGTTTATCATATATTGACAAATTAGATTGTTTAAGGATAAATTTGTTATATTATGATACACTATTACTTACTGCAAATATATGTGTTAAACATATATTGAACTCAAAGATGAAATGTTTATTTAGTAATAGTTTACAGAACCAGATTAAGAAATGTTACGCTCCGGCACATAGGACTGTTTAAATCTACCTAAGATTCAGAACTTTTTTTATAGACATGAAATTGTTTTGCTATTTGTGTTTTGGTATTTATTAATTTTTATTCTCCAATGGAAGTTAGTAAATTAGTATAGAGCCTCCTTTCCTCCTAAATATTGTTCAACCTACGCTTAAATCTACGCCTCATTTAGTTAATATTTTAATTACTATATATTTTATTGAAAATCATAAGAAGACTAATGAAATAATATGTTATCAATCTTTTTCATATAGCTATTTACAGTAGTAAAAAATATTAATATTATAATAAAAATTTAAATAAATTTATAAAAATAACAATTTTGTATACATAATTAAAATTAAAGTTTAATTTATTAATTCAAATTATTATATAAAATGCTGAGTAAATTACATAAGTGCTTACATTTATTTTTGTTAATTATAATTTTTATAAAAATGCTTTGTTCGACTTCTATTCAGCGTATTGGTTAATACATTCATCTCATGAAATAGATTTAATCAAAATATTTTTAATATTAATAATAGTAAATTAATTTAATTTTTCTTTTGAAATAGTAAATATCAAATAGTTTTTGACTCTAATAAGGACATTTTTTAAAAAAATTACACCTTTAAAACCTTGTTTTCGAGAACAGATACCCCTACCCAGGGGCGAATCCAGAATCGGGGAACTGTGAGTCCAACCATTTCAAGAAGTTATTTATTTGGGATGAAACTGAATTAGAAATGAATACCTTGTAAAAAAATATGCTCATAAAAGTGTATATGTATATTTATGATACATTTTAGAATTTGTGATACCATCGATAATGACTTATTTTCGATCAATAAATATAATCTAATTTTATCAGCGCAATAAACGTACGGAATAAAATATGATTTACTTAATTTTTACTAAAACGATATAATTTAAAATATAAATTATGAATTGAAAAATTTTAAATTTTGAATATACATGTCATTCATTTTTTAAGTAACTTTGATCGGCCAATTGTCCAAGAGTCCAAATCAAGGTCTAAAAAGAGATAAAAGTGTCCAAGAAGCCAATTTTGTCAACAAATATTAACTGTGGGTCAGCTGACCCCCTGACCTCCCTAGATCCGCCCCTGCCCCTATCCCTGTGCCACTTTAATCTAGTTCTGTTTATTTAGTATATTATATCAAGTAGGTACTATTGTATTTGAATATGTTCAAACCTCAACGATATTTTAATAATAACTATAAGACGTACCTATGTTAGTAACTCGGATAAAATATTGAATTTATAAATTTTATTAATTAGTGTATTTTAGGTTCATTTTATCATAATGGCGTTATCACTGAATTACCATACACGTTGTATGACATTTTGGTATAGTTATTGTTTTTATAAATCAAGTTTCCAAACAGGAGATTATTCATTATTTTGAAGATAATCCTTATAAGAATATTGCATTATATTTTATCATAAAATAAATCACCAGCTAAGCGATATTTAAACAAGCATATAAAATTAATTGTATATGAGTACTTACACACAAAATATCCATAGCACCAGACCGTTTCCAATAACGCCAAGAGAAAATAAAATCGAATACATAAATGCCAAAATATAATGGTAGATTGATCTAACTTCTGGGTATGATAACCAATGTTCTGGTATGTGAATAAGATCTTCAGGAGTAAGGTTCCAACCCATTAAATGAAGTTCAGGTTCTTCTTCCATAAATCTAGAATTCATAAATATTACCCCAATATATACTTCTTAAATTTTGTGTTTATCGAATTATTAATAGTTTTAATATTTTTGTATTTTTATAGAGTACCCTAGTTGTGACAAAGTTCTTGAGATACTTCGGTTGAAATCCATTATTGATGTTTATTAGTGTAAGTCTAAAACACTACTACGACCAAAACAAAACTCAATGTTAAGCTCATCTGGGTTTATATAAATTTTATGTATCACAGGGATAACAAGGATTACATATTATATATATGATTAAATAATAATCCCCTCTAACTTACAAGGGATGTTACTTTATATTTTTTTTATTTATCCTTAGTGACATATGCCATTGGGCATCTTATACTATTATTTACATAATAATTATACTATAATAATATAATTAGATTCAGAACGAGTTCGAGTTTATATAACTAAAGCACATTTTATAATTTACTATTTATACTTCAACTATAATGAGAAATGTACTTACGTCTTTCAATCATTATATAATTAATGGAAAAATGCACCTATTATTGTGTATTTAAATACTTTTTTGACTTGTATCTAGTATATTTTTATGATTAAAATACTATAAACATTCAAAGATTATGTTTCATTTATAAAACAGTAATAAGTAATATGTCATAAGTAATAACATGTTTTAAGATTAGTTTAAAGTAACTGATGTCTGGCGATAATATATTAGCAATAAGACTTCGTTGTCACTCGGTTCTTGCAATCAAGGTGGAATAAAGAACAATCTAATATTTAGATATTTTGAGTTATTTTACCCAACCTTGTTTGCTGCTAGATTAAATTTTTAAATATCTATTAGGAAGTCGCTACTCATCTAACTCAAATTTTAGTTTGTATGTGCCATAACATCAATAACATATCAATAATAAATATTAGTTTAGATAATATCTATTTATATGGGTTTTAGTGAATTAAACATTCATCATAAAGAAAATTGTTATCTTATTATTTATTTTGGACGATGATAATTAATCTAAACTTTCTATTTAGTTCATGTACAAGACGGATATTAAAATATTAATCAACTTTTAAATCTATACTTCACTTTTGTAATACTCACAATTTAATCGAAAATTAATATTGGGTAATTCTATTTGAATGAAATCTGTATGAATTATAGTATATGTTGTTAAAATAATTTAATTTTTTTGTAAATAATTGGTATCCTATGAACAATTTTAGTAGCATACATTATGAATAGAGCTGAGATATTAATGCTTTAAAAAATAGTATAAATGCTCTAAAAAATTGCACAAATGATTTAAAAACTTAACGAATGCACTAGGTATATATATAAAAAAATATAAAAATGCATAAAAAATGTATATATAATTGTTTAAAAATTATAAAAAAATCATGTTACCAAATATATTTAATTATATTTATTTAGCATAATAACAAAATAGGTATTTATAATTATTTGTTTAATATTTACATTTTATTTAACTTTATTTAAATTTGATTTATTCCATAACTTGTTATGATCGTCGTTAGACTCTTTGTAAAAAAATAATTTTTTTTAAGTATATTAATTTTTTGTTTTAATTTTGTTTTATTTTTGATAAAATAAAAACATGGGTCAACCTGTTCATATTTATTAGTTTATCAATTTAGTGGATTGCATACTAAACATGTAAGTTTTGAGCGAATAAATGCTGAAACACATAATCAAATACCCTAATATTTAAGAATTTGTAGATCAATTCTGAAAAATGTTCTAAAAACTTGAAAATTGCCCTAAAAATAACAACAAATACCCTAAAAATGTGTATATATATATAAAGTTAAATTTGTCATAAAATGCAAAAAAAAAACTACATTAAACTTATAAGTATCACTTCAAACACATTTTCATCTTACGGACCTATGTGTTGGGATATCAGAAAAAAAGATGCATTTGCATTAAAATTCTAGTCTTATCTATGAGCATTATACTAATAGATGAGTATATTTTTATTTTTTTACTTATATTATCTGCAAATTTTTACTTGTTACATTTATAAAAAAATAAATAAAAATAAAAATTTTGTTCGCAATAAAGCTGAATTTGCAAAAAATAAATGTAGTGTGCATAACATTGTGGACATGTAGGTATGATTAAATAACAATTCGATGTTAGATATTGTAAGTCTTCGGGGTACAACAGATTTAAAAATAATAATCATGTAATACTCCCGGTAAAAGGAATATTCGTAGTACTACACATTGAATCAGACATTATATGTTACTTGTTTTTAAACTGTCGAAGAATATATATATTATACCGTAACCATAATGTGTCTGTTTAAATTTAAATTTTGTGTCACATAAGTGTACCATACAAAAATTTTCAATTTAGATGCAGTATTACAGTGTTTTTATTTTTAAACTACGTTGGATACAAAAGTAAGGTAAGGAAAATGTTATTATCTTAAAAATGTACAAATTATATTTAGTGAATAAAAATATCAAAAATATTTTTAATTTTAATAAAGTAATATGTTATAATTTACATCAATATAAAATGTTTAAAACAGTAATCACATTTCAATTTTTGATAGGGGGAGAGGGTAACATTTTTGACCGGCCCATACTAGTGGGGGAAATATGGGGTTTCGTTCACACGTTTTAACTTATACTTAAGGCACATATTTTATATACTATATTTTTATAAAACTTAAATTTTTGCAAAATATAATTTTGTATTTTATAAACATTACCTACACAAGGTTAACTTAATCTAACTTGATCCTAAATTAATCTAAGCTGTAAGTGGATATCTTCTATTTTTCATTTTTGAAAATACATCTACTGTATCATCTAAACTGATTTTTGCAGTAACTAATATCACTTTCAACACCTATAAGTATAACTAATAAATCACTCAGCCGATCATTTCCCATTGTTAAGCGTAAATAAGTTATAATTAATTTAAGGGAAGAAAAAAACGTTCATTGGAAGCAGTTGTTACAGGCCAAGTTAAAAGAATATTTATAATTTTAAGAGTTTCTGTAAAAGCTTTAGGAAGTTCATATAAATTTTAGAAATAAAAAATAGATCATGAATTCCATCATCTCGTTCTTTATTTAAATAATTTAAGTTAATTAAGTTAATTAATTTAAGTTTTTTGGCATATAAGAATTCAGTTTGAAGTATTAAATTATCATTTTTAAAATGACTATAATGATTAAGGTAAAACAATAAATAGGGACTTTTGAAATTAAAATAATCAGTACTGGAAGATAAGAAAATATTACAAGTAAAAATGATTTCATTGCTAGAATTGTTGAAACGATGGTTAAGTGCATTCAAAAATCTAATATTCTTGTAAAATGCTCATGTGTCTATGATATTCATAGTTGATATCAATTGGTAATTACCAAATATTGTGGCAATAAATAATTATCTAAAACACAGTATTTTCAAAATTATAAAAATATGCTTGATTTTTCACAAATAACGGCTTATGGCTAAACAATAACGACCGGCCTTTTGGGGTGCTTTTTAATCAGACAAGAACAAATGCCCATCTTGCCCCCCCCCCCAAATGATGCCACTGGTTTAATATTGAAATACGATTAAAAATAAATTACGAACATTGTTTCATATATATGTTTCATCATCATGTATAAATACATACTATGTTTCAATGCAGTTTATTATTAAGATTTATAGACGCAGGTACTTTTGTTTTAATAATTTTATACATTATTACAATTTTATGTTCATTATTTTCTTATAATAATCAATATCCCATTTAGCTACTTGTAACGAGAAGTAAAATTAATTGAATATCGCTTATTAGTATCGATTGATTACGAACATCAATGAATACTTATATCGTGAACTGTTGCCACTAAAACGGTTCTGTTGAAGTTTTCGATCGGTCCAATTTTCATTTATACTATTATTTAAACCAACTATATAATACCATTGATTATAAATACTTACATGGGTCAAATAACTATTCAAGTAATATAGTGGAAAATCAGTAAAAGTACGTCTGATAAATGTCTGCAATAGTAATGCTATTGAATATATTGTACATTAACTTTATGTATTAATTGCACTTTAATTATTATATATCTAATATAAAAATATATAAAATCGTTAATTCAAGTGCTTAGAAGTAATCGTATTTCAATACTTGTATGTACTACCATTGAAAATATCAATTGTATCACTTGAAATAAAATATTAATATAATAACCACTAAGGTAACGATTGAAAATTTAAATTTTTATTTTAAAATAAAATAAGTTATGTTAGTAATTATTTCATAAATGAAACTTTCGTATCTTATTGTATCAAAACCTATTTAACATTTAAAAAAAAACGAATGATGTTAATTAATGCACACATTGAAGATAACAATCATTTTTGTTTCATTAACATTACTTTAAAAATTGACAAATAATGATGATGGCCTATGAACAAACATTCTACATGTACAACGTTTGAAAAGACACTTACTAAATAGGCGAAAGATTTTTTGAAAGGGAACTAAAGTAAATGTTTGCTACATTTGTGAGGTTTTAGTATACGGTCATTAGTCCAAAAGCCTATGAAAAAATGTCAATATTTGATATAAAAAACTTGTTCTCCTTGGATTCCGATTTTCACAGAAAACATTTAATATTATTTATAAATTAAAACATTCGTTATGCAATAATTCTTTACTAGATAAATTATTTAAGTAATCAACTAATCATTTACCTTAAGGTCACAAATAACATTGAAATGTTTGAACGCTATCTACTGGAATTAATGATCAAAATATAAATATCTACTTTTTGATAACATTTTAAATTCATATACTCGCAGATACCCGGCATAAAAATTTGATTGAAAGTACCTAATTTTATTCATTGATATTGAAAGGTATGCTTGTTGTAAACATTTGTTAATAAATCAGTTTCTATTAATTTTTTTAATAAATTAGAAAAGTCTAAAATAAAGTTAAAGTTTTACACAAAAATAATAATACAAGTAATAGTAAGTTAATAAATAAACTTGGGGGTGCACGGCATGCGACTTAGACAGACTTTTCTGAGATGGCATGCAATTTGGACATTTCAATTTATTTTTATTTTTTTTGCATGCAATTTGGATGCACTGAAAGAATATATGAGTAGCAGCAGGAATGTTAACATAGGGATGGCAAAAGTATACGATACATTCGTTAAAAAAAGAAAAAAAGTTGATATTAATTATTCATTGTACAATATTTAAATAAAATATCCCAATTAAATTTAAGTTAGAAACACAATTAAAAAATGCACTTTTGATGGATTAAATAAATTTATAACTGATCGGTAGAGCGTGGATTTATATGCATTTGTATACTTATTCTGGTTACTAACCAGTGGTTAGTTCTATTATATGATGAGTTAGAACAATATTAGTTTCGTGACATAACGATTGAAACATTTAAACTTTTTTGATGCATATTTTTTCCATATTTTGTCATATAGCCATTTATTTTTATTATTATTTTAAGGTCTTTTAAAAATATTAAATATCTAAAATCATTAAACCGTATTTATGTTTTGTGTTTATTTCTAGAAGAATGTCAACATGCCTCTTGTTATTTTTTAAAATGTTCTTAAATCTATCATAATATTGTTGAATGATGATACACTGTGAAAAAAAATGAAAAAAATAAAAAAATTGGAACGAAGAGTAAAAATGTTCAGACAATACAATAAAGGTAAATATTACATTTAATTGGGGGGCGTCGTGGCCGAGTATGATTAGGGGGCTGTGTCTAAACAGATTCCGGTTCCAACTCGATCACCTGTAATTTCGCTTTCTGGGCGGAACGACCGCCCACAAAGAAGAAACCGTCAAGCCTTCCGCTAACACCCAACGTGTACCACACAAACCAAAATATAAAATATCTTTCATGCAAAAAACTCTTTTCAGTATCTAATAGCTTGAGATGCCGCAGATAGTAATTTCTAAATTGAAAAAATAACATTATATTATCAAAAGTTCTTTAGGAAATAACGGTAAATTTTATTATTTAATATTATATATCCGTAATACAAACATTGTATATTATGAATAATTTCCACCAGACTGATCCCTTACGTAATCAATTCTAGACATGGTTACTTATATAAGTATACAAATATAATATAAATATATATATATATATATATATATATATAATTTCTTAAGCCATAAAAACGTAAATAATTTTTCAATCAAGAGTTTCATATAATAATTTAAATCAAAACTCTTTGTCAATTTTACTCACTAACTATTTTTAGAATTTAGAAATCAATTTATGATAAGTTCTTACATTAAATTCGTTTTACAAGAAATTACGCGAGATTTCAAAAATTGCAAACGTATAATAAGTAAATTACAATAATCAGTAAAATATATATATATTTATTATTTTTTTTTTTGTAAAAAAATAATACTTGTCTTTTGGGATCAATAATGAAATAGTACGATAAGTGGATAATTTTTAAAAACCTCTCATTTAATTATTTATCTATTGAGTAATCAATAGTCCGAAATATTAAACCTTATATAATAATGTAGATATTAAGCACTAAGCGGTAGTAGTTGTTGTGGATTGAGTTTCAGATGCTGTTGCTGGTGGCTTTTCTTCGATTCCAAGACATGGAATACGTTTTGATAATTCCAATCTAAACAAAAAGTCTTTACATAACATTTGTTATACATATTCAACGTAATAATAGTCTAAAATTATGAAGTTAGTATTGTATTTAATAATTTTAATGTTTAATGTATAGCTTTTAAGTCATGAAACTTTAAATGCCGAACAAATATAATATAAATACCCCTAACGTTTCTCGTAAATTTATCAATCAATTCTAAAAATATATATAGTAATAATAATGTTCAATGGCTATTTCAAAGGAAAAATAAAATTATTTTTCGATACCATTATTATGCAGATAAAATATGCAAAGGTATAGACAAAATATAATAATTAAGTTTGAATTATTTTTTGTTTTACTTATCCAATAACTATTAATTTGAAATATTCTTTCCTAAAATTAGTTTTGTTTTAGAATATTTTCCATTATAATTTACCTGTATCTCGGGTGACTTATTGCATAAACATAAGGATCGAAACAGGCTACAGATTTGCAAAATATCGCTGGTATCATTGTGATGCCGGGTGTAAGCAGCGATCTTAAAAGTGAAAATAAAAAACAATTGATGTGATTAGTATTTTATTTCATTTAATTAATGGTATTCCATTTAATTATGATTATTTAAAATTATTATATTCATTTTCCCTAACCTAGCTAAATGAATCAAAATTTGCGACGAGATAAATAAAAATTTATAATTTTAACAAAAGTAAATTTAAAAAATACTCACTGATCTCCAAAAGCACCAATCATGGCAACTACTGCGTATGGTGTCCAAGCTGCAATGAATAGGAAACATATTGTAATGGCGGCTTTTGCAATTCTCACTTCAGCTGATTGAGCGTTTGCATCTTGGTTACTCCGCAATGATTCCACGTTCATCTTTTTAGCCTAAACCGTACTCGATATTAAAAATATATTTTTCAAATATTCTCGGATTTGTTTAGTGTGAATACCGCCCTAATAAAAATATTTTTACGATATAGTGTTATACGGAACGACATTATTAAATCTGTTATATAATTAAATACTGTATCATCTTTAAGTAGTACAATTAATATATCTTTAAAATGTATCGTAAAATTTTGATTTAATAATCGTTTTGTCATTGTGTCAACATAATACGACATACTCGATATACCTACTTAATTTTATCGATTTCAATAAACTTGATTCAGGGATATAAAAAAAGATCATTGATTTTTCTACACTTTTTTTACCGTTTAAAGCCAGAACTACAGTTTCTTAATTACAGAAAATAATATTAAAAATAATCGAACAATACATAGATTTTACCTGTTCACGAAGAGCTTTTTCGTGGTTGAAGACATGGCTAACGATTTGCGAGTAAAAATATATAACTAATGATACCGGTATAATGTAACAAATGGTAAACATGATTCCAATGAAAGCTCTAGTTTCGTCTGTTGGAGTTAAATAGTCAATAGTACAACTTGTCAGATAACCCTCTGAAATTAAAAAAAAAAAACTCTCGATTAAATCATAATTCATAAGTTTAAAACTCGATTTTCTAAATTAATTTTTAAATTAATAGTTACAATTCATAAATAATATGTATAAATATAATACATAAATAATTATATATTAAAATGTATTATAGTTATAAAAGTGATATTTAATTAGATTACAGTATGTAAAAAATGCTTGATCAGTATAATGAGTTTTCTAAGATTTTTACCATAATTATTATTACTATCATGAGCGTAACTTGGAAATTTATTAGGGGGGAGGGGCAAATATATCATTACATATCTAACGAAAAGGGTATCCGCGACTAGGGTTGGACTAGCTCTATAGCTCGGCTTGGACAAAATAATTTCGAACGATCTCAATGGAACAATAAGTACAATAATAAATGGAATAAGTAGGTACCTAATCAAATTATTGTTTAACTGAAAATGTATCTTCGTAACTCAAAAAACAATATACAAACAAGTACATTTGAATATTTTCAGATTTAATGTTATTAAATCTAGTTTACGCATAATATATCATATCTATAATATTGATATAATGACCTACCTATTAAGATAAATTTTACACCATAAAAAATGATTTGATTTAAATATGTTTATACATTTAATTATAATTGAGTTAGAACTAATGTCTCTTTTATGTGGCCTGCAGTAAATTTCAAAACTAGTAAATGTCATTGAATCGTATAAATTGTTTATACTATCTGACCCTAGAATCATTTTTAATTTGTTAATGTGGCTCAAAGGTCCATTAAGGTTGCTGACTACTGAGTTAGAACATATTGTTTTTAATAAAATAATTGTTACCGGTAATAATTGACTTAAAGTCAACAGAAAGGTTGGAAACTAGTAACAAACTTGTTATTGACTGAATGTCAAAACTATATTAATATTTATTATAATTATAATATTTTTTAAATAAAAGTCTAATAAATCTTCTAAAAATTATTATCGAAAAACAATTTCGTTATCGCATATCTTGCACGACTGTGTCCACCCATACCAACATTTTCTTTTGGTTAAATGTTGTTTGAACAAACGCGAATGGTACGTCGTATCAGTCCCTATTTTTCATAAAAATTCGTTCTTCACATTTTTTAATATACAGTGATATGATACAAAGCTCCTCTCTACCCCCTTCCATGTGATTATAATTTTTAGTGCAATGTCAGTAATAATTTTTACTAATAGTTCTTATTTTTAATCGAATTGCACATTATAATTATTTAAACTAAAAACCAATCTGATATTTTTTAAGTTGAAAATATACTTTTGTCTGGTATAAATCTGAAAACTGTTTACAAATTATTTATTTTAATGTGGGATATATAAATTAAAATATAATAGATATATTTTAGTCCTCATCAGCTATCTTGCTTAAACTGACTTCCTGAAAAACATCTTCATAGTAGTCTTATTTATTAGAATTTAGTAGGTACAGACTTCTCAAATCCTGTAGTGCACACTTGCAGTTTCGGACTACACACTTTGTGTCGGGGTTCACTAAAAAATAGGGACTGCGTCGTATGATTAACATATTGTACACATTTTTTGTATTCGAATTTCATACAATTTTTCTATTCATTAATATTGTGATGAAATCATTGTTATCAATCGGCCTATCGCTACATTTTAAATATGTTTAATATTCAAATTTTGAGTTATCTAATCCTGTGTCACCGCATCTATTAGTAATGTCGTGTTACAAGGCGATCTTTTTTATTTTATTTTAAGAATAGAAGATAGACGCATTAAAATAAAAACAAAAAATCTAAGTAATTTTTTTTAACCAAAATTACAACAGCCTGCCGGGGCATGCCCCGGTTGCCTAGTCCAACCCTGTCAGCGGCTAAATGTCGCTTTACTATACAATACTATATATACTATTATATACTATTACTATATTATATATTATATACTATACTATATTACTATTATATACTATAATACTATACAATAACATATTATTATACAAAATTATTCATTTTCTAACATTATGTTAGATAAGCAAATATTGAAAATTAAGATTTAAAAAAAAATTATATAGTAATAGCTATAACCAGCTGTTTTGTACTTATTTTAAAACAAGGTATTTTAAATATCAGAGGGGGCACTGTCTCTCCTCATTTATTCCAAGGGTAATTGCCCCCTCTTGCCCCCCACAGTTTACGTCTATGATTACAATGGTTAGTTTTAACCTGAGTCTCAGATTATACTTCGAAAATATGCACTTTCTTATAAATGTACTTAATTGTTAAATGTATAGCCTTTTAAGCATCCATATAAATGTTTTCATGGATACCCTCCATATTTCAGACAATATATTAAACACTCGTATGATTTCATTAACCTCGATACTAGATAAAAGTGAATTATTATTTAATAATTATGTATAATTCCATATAAAATTGTTTTATTGAATATATTATATATTGAATTATTGAATTGAATGGTACTTAATTCGGCTTAAAACAATTAAGATATTATTTAAAACAAAGATTACTTACTTACTTACTTACAACTAGCATATTTATTAAATTTTTTATCATTTTATCGAAAACTATACTTATATACATATATTATACAGCCAGTGACGGCGCGAGGAGTGAGCAATAGGGGTAGTTGCCCAGGGCCTCACGCCTTAAATTATAATTAAGGCCTCGCGGTTCTGATTTAACTGAACTTAAAATATTTTATTAATATAAATTATAAGACCCAACATTTATTTTGCCCAGGGCCTCGCAAACTCTAGTACCATCACTGTATACAGTAGACTGACTCTCAACAATTCGAATCTTATCTTAATTGTTCGAAAACCTCTATAAATTGATCTATAAGCTTGGTTTTCTGAGAAAACCTCTATAATCCATATAAAGCATGAATTTATGTCCCCTCAATAAATCGAAGTTAATAAAGTGTGAAATGGCGATACAAATTTTATAATTCCAATATTTATGACTAGAATCTCTGCAATTCAATGTTTGATGCAAATAAATTTAATGGGAAATGTGGTTTAACTTACGTATTTATTATGAATAAGAATATAAAATGTAATTTTACCAACAATATGATTAGATTCGAAACGATATGACGGTCACTGTATATTATCGATGGTTTAACCTATCACAGTTTTTTGTTCTTAAATTAGTTTTCTAATTTCCCAAACTGCTGTTAATAGACTCTAATCGTAAATCGTATCATTTAATACCACTATAAGCCTCAAAATTTTACGAACAGTTATAAAATTGAAATCGAGTAAAACGTAGTCAGACTAAAAATCAATCTCATAAAATATAAGTGTATCTCGTTCTCCAGTAAAAAAAAAATTAGTGACCGTGGCAATTAAACCCGGTAAAAAAGAAGATATTGCCTTAAGTTTCTGTATACCAGAGTTATTTAAATATATGTAGAATAAATATGTTTGTAACTTGTTATACTAGTGTACTAATTATAAATATGTATTTAATAAAAATCGAGAGTCTACTAGGGATGAGTATGACATCCAAAGATTTGAATTTTCAGAATATTTAAATTCGGATTTTAATCAAATTTTTATCCGGATTTTCTTGAGTATCTAGATTTATGGATTGCATTTTACATAACTTATAATTATTTTTAATTTTTAGTAAAATTAATTATTTTATTGCAATTAGAATTTAACAACAAATTAATATTATGTTTTATGGATTACAGATAACTTATCATGACTTCTACAGTTTTTATAATTTATAATTAGTTACTAAAACAAGTTGTTGAATTGTAAATTTAATGTATACCTCTATATATTACAGTGATATCATGACTGAAGACCCATTTAACTTATCTTTATTACATAGTCTAAATTAAATGTATGTGTAAATAGTTATTGAAAAGCAAAATTGAATTGAATAATTCGAATTTCTTAGTATGATGTGTTAGTATGACTTATCATTATAGTTTACTGTAGTCATAAAAAATACATTTTTTTCTATTAAAATCTGTTTAACCTAAAGAAATAATGGGTGGAACTTTCTATTCATATTTTATTCCATAAGTGTTAAAAACCTCTAGGTGTAAGCGACATGAGATCAATAGTTATCTAAATCCACTAAAATTCTAATTTTAATATATTTATTAAGATAGTATAAATACTAACCTGGTACATATCGGTTCCACTTTTCAGTGGCTGGTAAAAAGCACCATGGGAAAACATAGGCCCAAATTAATATCATTATAAAAAATGCTCTTCCATAAGTCATACGTCCTTCGAATGGTTTTGCTATCGTACTAAAAATGTAGTTTATTATTGTCCAAAAAAATATCATTTTACTATTTTAAGTGAAACAAACGGGATTTACTTTATGGTTTTTAATCAAAGATACTAAAATGTAGATTCAAAAATATTTATGATATAATAATGATAATAATAGGTTCAAAATGTCAAAAGTGGTATTGTACCCACAAAAATCAGTCAAAAATCAAATACGGTAGTAATGGATAGGTTAGTACATAGAAAAGATAATTAATGTACAAAGTGATAGCAACGTAAATCGTAAAAGGTCGACGTAAATAACTACAAAGGTATACGCATAACGGAATCGCAAAATGTATTGTTTTTGAGTGGATTATAATTTATTGGTTTGTAATCATATTTATGTACATCTGTAGCTTACATAATATAATTGTTAGAATTTATTCAAATATTAGAGGGTCGATATACTCGGAATATACCTAGGCAAGTGCTCATGTTACTCTATTAGGTTTTTTTTTTTGTGGACGAATCATAATTGATTACATGTAGTATTCCAATAAAATATGTGGTCTCATATCTAATTATGATATACGAATTAAAGAACAGGGACAGATAAGTATGTACAATATGTAATTGTGGAAAAGAAGGTGAACAAAGTTAGTTGGAGGAGATAATATGTTTATTTTATAGGTTGCACCTATATCTGTCGTAAGCAATTGCTGCGTTTGTAATGCTTGCTCCGAGGCCACTGATAGTTCCGGCCAGAGCAAATGCTTGACAGAGAAAATGACCCTGATAAGTGCGTTGAACTGAACCGTATATGAAAATCGGCGCTTTAGCCATCATCAAGAAATCGCATAATGCCAAATTGATTACAAATATATTGGACGGCGTTCTTAATGACTTTGATCTGAAATCAAATATATTGGGTTGTTTGATTGAAAAAAAAATCTCCCAAACGCATTTTTAAGTACAATTTAAACACAAAACATTCACTTTATAAAAACCCAATAGGATTTCCATCAAAAAATGTATGTTCCCGATGACCATTCTACGGAATACTTTTTTTCAAACTAATCACTGAAATTTAAGTTGTTAAGAAACTTAACAATTGTTGAAACCAGTGCTCAACTTGGCAAAATTAAAAAGGGACCTCTGTTTACTTCAAAAAAAAAAAAAAGCTACCACAAAATTTGTTAAGCGTCATAATTATACCGTAACAATAGTAAGGGGACGCTAAAATTTCTGAAAATTAGTTGGGATACTTCATCCCCCTACGACCCTCCTAAAGTCGAGCACTGGTTGAAACTAAATCAAGAAAACAACTAGGAATTATTGGCTTACGTACGTACGTACGTGTATAACCGCTGTTTTAGATGACGGTATATAATTTTCTTACATTAGTATTTAGAAAAGATTAATATCACTTTTCACGATCGATGTAGAGAATCTATGTGTGGCCGGACTCATTGAAAATAATGTATTTTAATAATTGGGGCTCGCTTGTACACGGTTGGATCCATAGGCAAAATTACGGGTCAGGCCAGTCAGGCTATGTACCTGACCTAATACTAACTAAAAATATGTATATTATATATTTTAATAATTATTTAGGCATTATAAATAATATATTTATACATATAAACGTATACATTTGTACGTTTCATATTATTAATTATTTGATTTTTATTTATTATTTTTAATTCATATTTATACGTTTATTTTATTTATATAATAGGAAATAATAGTTAATTTTACGTAATAATACTTTTTATATTTTTCATTTGGCCTGATCTAATAAAGTGTTTAGTTTCGCCTATGGTTGGATCACACGGAACGTCACTGTTGATTTGGACCACCGCAATTAACGCGGCTAAAACGCATACGTGTGAACACAAATTGTATTAAAAAGAATACTTAAATTTACTTAAATAACTCGTGGTTCAAACACAAATTGTATTTAAAATGAATACTTAAATTTACTTAAATAACTCG